GTCTTGTCGCATTTTTTGCCTGCACGTATCGTGTGCTCGTTGTCAAGATGGTATTTTGAACGCGGCTCATTGGGTTTTCGCGCGATAACAGAACCTGTGATGATTATATGATTCATAAGGAAAACACTGTCGGGATAGATATAGCAGGATAATACAGCAGATCGCATCACTCCATTTGAGGGAAGAAGTAGACGTGTGTCTCCTACAAAGTCCGACGAGAAGACAAACAAAGCTAAGAAGGCTACATGACCTTGGGGTTTTTGCAAACTTTTGTTCTTACACGAACGTAGACTTCAGCGTCCCCGTTCGATTTTCTCCTTGTATGAGATGGTATTGCGATCATTGTACCGGGGAAGCTTGGTTGTCGGTTCGAACGAGAGTCATTGTCCATTTGCGATGATCAAATAATCGCAGGTCTTCCATGTTCTGTGCTTGTTCTCATTTTACCGATGTGCAAACCAATTCCGATCGATTCCGGCCATACACCGGCATCTTCCACGACGCATGTCCACGCAGGCACATGCCAAGCTGCCCGGCGATCTATCCGTGCAGGACTTTGGGCTACGCATTGCTAGAGACTTCGACGATGAAAATTGCGGGCGCGTCGCTTGACGCCAATCCACCGAGGGTTCAATAGGCGCAGCCAAGGTGGAACGAAAGCTCCAGTGGTTTGACCTAACCCCCAGGTTTGAGCCACGTCTAACTATGAATAGAAGCCTACGCCACATAGTGAGGCTTGACATCATGTTAGCGGCATGATGGCCGGCGGCTGCTGTGACATGAGGTGGATCGACGGCACAAGCCCATGAAGCTTGCGCAGCTCTTGTGGCTGTTGGGCGATCCAGGCCTTGCCAGCCAAGAGCACCATCTCACCGTCTAGAGACATGGACGTTTGGCAAATGAGGCTCGGAAACACGGCCGCTGCTGAGTCCGGGGTTGACCAAGCAGCAGCACGCGATTTCCCCCAGCCTCAGAACGCGGCATGCGTCACTCGCAGGGCTTGACAGGCAATCTCGCCGTGGAAACTCTGCTTGGAAGTTTGAGCGCGATCTTGTTTTGCTGTCGGGTCACTCGGACACCTATGACGCCACAACGGAAGGTGTGGCGCGTGCGGGTACGCGGCAGCGCCTGCCATCCTTGCTAAATTTCACCGGCTACGTCACTCTTGTGGTCATGAGCTGCCCTCGTCACCTGCCATAAATACTAAGCAAGACTCCCGCTGTTTGTCAAATCATCACACCATCAATCCGCACTCTACTACAAGCACTTCCAACTCTTACACGCAAGAACAACCCAACACTCCAACATGCCTTTCACCGCCAGGTATGTCCGCTCCAGCAACAATCAGCCTACCTGAAGACGTAGACACTAACAACCACCAGCGACATCTGCAAGATCCTCCTTGCCATCATCCTGCCTCCTCTGGGTGTCTTCCTCGAGCGCGGATGCAACGCTGATTTCCTCATCAACATCCTGTTGACCGTTCTTGGTTACATTCCGGTGAGTTCCGGTTCACACATCATCACCCACGACCCTGTCACTAACAACATCACCAGGGTATCATCCACGCTCTGTACATCATATTCAAGTTTTAGCGGGGGCGCGCAAACACCCTTCACGATGCCGCGACAACGGCTTGACGAACAACGTCACATCACGATACCCATCTTCCTCTTTTTCCGCCAATGTCAGAGCTTGACCAACACCCGACACTTACCGATATCTTCGATGCCAGGATACACTTGGCATGGCGTCGCTTAGGGATGCCGGAGCTTCCGGTCGGGTGGAGGTGGTCCTGGTTTGGCTCCGTCTGTAATGTCATGAATAGCTTCAGGTTTTGGCGTCTTGGTATTCTGGGACAATCTCAGGTTTCCTCGCGAGCATCCTGGTGCGTTTGTACGAGCGTGCTGTAATGAGAATATAATCAAACATTCTACAAACATACCATTTCTGTTGCTATGATGTGCAAGCATGAACGCCATGTGTGATGTTACGAAGGTTGGATAGTCAAGACGGCTAGAAGCAAAGAGTGCAAACCGACACAGAACGTTCGAGGCATTGGTGGTCGTGCAAGGGCTCAAGGACGCGATTGCGATCTGCAGCTCATGATTACCAATGTATTTCAGGGTTAGCAGATATATCTCATGTCAACCACTCATAGTCGGTGTGCTATCCTCCTCCAGTCCGATGTGCGGCTGAACCAGAGGCACGATGCTATGCTTGGCACGTGCATCGCCGTTCTTTCCAAGGTTCACGCGCTCCGCACCAGCACTCACGACCGTCACACCTCGCGCCCACTTCGACCCTTATGTATTCCCTCCACTCCAAACCGTATCACTCACCGCATTCCTATCGTTCGAAGCGCAAGGCGCGATATAAATACCGCCCAGTATGAGCTTCATGACTGCCACGCTCACAGACGCCGAAATCGACGCGCTTAGCAGCGAAGCCTTTGACCACGATGGCGCGATCCGCAAGCTCGACAAAATTATGCGCTCGCTCAACACCGACCCTACTTCATTCATCGAATCGATCCGGGTCAAAAACACGCTCGATGCGTACGTCCAACAGGCCAAACTCGAGCCGACTCTGCCAGTGCTCAGGCTCATCTTGAACTGCGAGTACAAACTGTGGAAGTTGGCCGAAGAGACACCTATGAAGCACAAGGTTTACTTGTCGCACTGGGTAGAGGCCCTTCAGGACATCAACAATGAAGCAACCCAAGGGCAGGAAGACAAGGCCACCAGCAACGACACGGTCACTGCTGCGGAAGTTCGGAGAACCAGGGCGGAATACATCATGGGGCTTCTGCTGTGGGAGCCGTCGTCATCCAAAGCCTCGCCCCACTTGATACTGGACCGCCTTAAGATGGATGGTGTTCCACTAGCTACCTTCGATCTGGAACCGTATATGTGCATGCTCGTTGAAACTCAGGTTTGGGACGTGCTGCCAGAGCCGAAAGTACGAGCTCCTGCACAGCCCGTCCAGAAGCCCACAGCACCAGCGGAAGACGAGGAGTCACTGCACGTTACTCAGGGGCAAGAAGTTAACAGCTCACAGTCATGGGATGAAGCCATAATCCGAAAGCTCAAATTCGAACCCGAACAAGCCGTGCAAGAACTCGCGCATCTTCCACTCGAGCTATCGTCCCTAGACTTCCTCACCAAACTACACGCCAACCACACCTTCGTTGACAATGGGATTGATGGTCAAGACGTTACCATCCATTTCATACAGCACGCAATGCGGCTTATCGAGAAGATGGAGGCGCCCCCTCCGACGTCACAGGAGGAGACAACGACCAACGGCACGACCAATGGAACTGCCAACGGTACTGCCAACGGAACCACAAATGGAACCACCAACGGAACCACCAACGGTGTTGGCAACGGCACCCCGATCGTTGAATACGGAAAGGATGCGCAACGTCGCGCTGTCATGATACTGCTGTTGTTCATCAAAAGCTCCATCACCAAGGGCTTCGTTGAAGCGGGGGCGCTCTTCTATGAGCTTCAGGAAATATGTATCCGATATATATGGATAAAAGAGGTCAGGGACTTCAAGGCTTGGACACAAGGACAGTTTGGGGTTAACTAGAAGCTTACCAAGAAGAAGTCGAAGAAGGCCAGGCAGTCAGGTCGGGTACAAAGAGGCTGCGGATGTTAGAGGTTGATAGGACTGATCATTAGAGAGAAGCAGGGTGTATTGATACGCTGATTCAGGTCTTCCCTCTGTAGATGGCCAGTGTCGTTGGTACCAATGTTTCGATGTTGGCCGGTCCGTTTCTGCGACTGCAGCGTTTGCCTTACGATGCAGCTACTGCGACCACTGCTCCGTACGGTCCAGATGTGGCAAGCCTTGCTGTGACCGACGTGCATAGCGAAACACTGGAAGCCGATAGCATGAAGATCCGCGTCCAGAACCTGCATGTTGTTCGACAATCTCACCGCTCCGCGTTTTCGAAGCTGTCACTCTCAACCTTCTTCACTATTACAGTACTGCAGTGGAGTCGCCTGGAAGTGTCGACGTCAAGTCATGGTCGTGCTTGAGGCGGCTTGAAGGTTTCGGGAATATCCGGGACTGCAGCTGAGGCAAGAAGCAACGCGCTAACCCTCGAACGATACCAAACTTTAGAGTTTCAAAACCCGCTACTGAAACAACCATCGCCTTTTCACCTCGGCCGGATTGCTGGCTAACCGTTCACGAACGACAAGCGGTGGATAGCTGCCGATAACGGCCAGGGATATTATTTCGTTGCTTACTTTTGTGTATCCACGACCTGCAAAATGTCTGCGCAATCCCGAATGATATCACAACAATGCGAAAGCGAGCATGCAAGAGCGAAACGATGTTCCCTCGATCCTGTTTCGATCGCCGAGCCTGAATCGAAACCTCGCTGCTGATACACATCTGCAGACATGCTTCCTCAGATGCCAAACATCAATGCGCGCTCCCACAACGCGACATCATTGTTCCGAAGCAGCCTTGGGAAGATCCCAAACCAAGCTTCTGGAGATGATCGTCCCGCAGTGGATATCCTAGCGGAATTGGCCTTAGTGGAGTAACCATGACCATCGTTCGACCAGCATCGTCTCAGCTCTCCGGTCAGGGTCTGTGCTCTCGGTATCACAGCCTCCCTCGACGGCCATCATCGTGTTTGGCCATGGCAGCAAGGGGTCGCGGGCGCCATCTTGCCTTGGTGGATCGGAGACGCAGACCGCTGAATGCTTGTGTCTATGCTAAGCTTTGGAACGCTGACAAGCCACCACCGGAAAGCTGTATATAAACCGAGCTGCTCATCCTCCTAAGGTCGATATCACCATCACTCAACATTCAAACCAACCAGACTCGCTTTCTTCCCTTCCTTCCATCCTTCTAATTACTTTCTTGCGCCGGTCGCTTGCTTAATTCACTACTCATTACATCTTTCTCACTCAGTACTCTCAACTATCTTCAACTCTTTTTAACCCTTTTTATCAACCAACTTCATATCCATCAAGATGCGTTACTCTCTCGCTGCCATTGCTGCTATTGCTGCCTCCGTCCAGGCCCACGGTGTCGTTTCTGAGATCCAGGGTGCCAATGGTGTAACCATGCCTGGTCTTTCCGTCCAGGACGGTACTCCTCGCAACTGCGCCTCTCCTCTCTGCGGTTCCGAGGCCGATACTTCCATCATCCGCACCCGCGAGATGGGTGGCAAGGCCTCTGCTCTTGGACGCACCCAGGGCGGCGGTGCCGTTGACGCTGGTGCCGCTATCTCCATGTTCATGGGAGGTGCTGCTGGAGGTGCTGGTGCCGGTGCCGCAGCTGGTGCCAAGCGTGGCTTCCTCGATGCTCTTACCGGTGGTGGCGCTGGCGGCGCTGGTGCTGCCTCTGCCGGCACCAAGTCCACAGGAACTGAGGGTGGTGTCGCCAAAGCCGCAGGTACCGGAGCCACATCTGGTCTGCCCACCACTGCCGACGACGGCACCATCACCATGACCTTCCACCAAGTCAACCAGGACGGTGCCGGTCCCCTGACCGCCCAGATCGACGCCACCTCCGCCGGCACCGACCCCGCCGCCTTCCAGGACGCAACCGTCATGCAGAACGTCCCCGGTATCGGTATTGGAGGTCTCTCGGCCGCCGCCGTCAAGGACTTCCCCGTCAAGGTCCAGATGCCCGCTGGCATGACCTGCTCCGGTACCGCCGGTGGCGCCACCAACGTCTGCATCGTCCGCATGCAGAACGCTGCCCTCGCTGGTCCCTTCGGTGGCTCCGCTGCCTTCACCCAGAGCACTGCCGCTAAGAAGCGCGCGGTCGAGTACAACCTCCGCAAGCGCCACATGGCCCGCGGTATCCTCGGAAAGCCCGAGTAAGCTTCTCGCCATTCATCAAGCTTTCTCTACAATGGCCCCTCGGAATCATACAACGACGACAGCAGCAACCTCGGATAGCACGACAAATGAAGAGTTGGATATAATATAATAAGAGAACGAAGAACAACATTGCGGTTTTGCTGGGCAATTCCACTTTGGGCACAAGAACAATAAGAGAGAGAGAGAAAGAGATATTTCAAAGTACATACGAGTATGAATAAAGTGAGCTCGGCTTTTCAAGAATCCTATTCTTCATGAATGGGGTTCTTGGTGCCACTCCTTTAGTTCTGTACATAACTGACCTACCATACACTCATTTACTTGAGCTGTTTTCCTTTTTAGTTGTTTGGTTATATAAACTGTAATTAGATGGATGGAATGGGAGACGGGACTGCGGAAGGGGAGGGTGTTCTTTGACGGTTTTGGATGGGAGCACCTTTTCTTTTCCGTAGGATTTTCGTCTGGGTCTGTATATAGATGAATGTTAGCGAGTCTGGTTTAAAACTTCTTGGTCTTCCATGTGTGATTCTGATGACAAGAAAAGTGATTGATGAGAAGAAGATAGTTATAGCTGGGAAATGGTAGGCATTGCAGCCTCTGGTAATGGGTTACGAGGCTTCCCCAAATGCTTTGTAAAGGCCATATTCTTTCAAGTCAAGGCTTCTGCTTGGAAAGTCTACAATGGTACACGATTGGATAGATTCGATAACTTGGTCCTTATGGAGGCTTCTAGCACACGTTCTTAGGCATGCCGGCATTCTCAGCTTTTGATGTAGCTACTAAATAGTTTGGAACGAAGTACCATAGTGAATCGAAAATCAGATTTCGTCGGTGCCAGAAGTGAATGTCTTGTCTTGGCCATCTTCGTCGACAGCGTCCAGGAGCAATATATGTCGGAGCCGCTCTTTCCATTGTTCCAGATTCCACACCCATCTTCCAACATCCTTATCAGAGTCTTGGAAAACACTGCACAGGTGTTCAAATAGGTCTTGGGTTGACGCTGAGTAGTCTGGTGTGATATCCCATAGCTCGCGTTCCCGTGGCGACATCAATGAAAGCAATGCGTAAATGCGGTCGCGCGGGTCGAGACAGGCGCTATTCGACGACAGATTCAATAGCCAGCCCAAAGTGTAATGTTCGACTTTTTCTGCAGCGCCGTGCATTATTATGGTAAGGGCACTTGTCTGTGCACCTGTTCCATACAAGTTTGCGACCGTATCCACCCATCTTTCGGCCATGCTTCTCAGTTCTTTCTCATTCAATATTTGGTGTCCGCACCAGAACTCGACGTCGGATGAGAGTATGTATTCTTGTAGAATCCATGTACGGCTCCAGTACGGATGAGCTAGTATGTACTTGAAGCCCGCTACTCGAGGATTGGGGTCTCTACTGGCATACGGTACGTACTGTATGAAAGTCCCTTTTCCATACATGGGCGTTGCGCTCAAGGCCTGGATTTTCTCTTCAACATCCCCGTTTGCGGTACCAAGCCAAGCTATCGTTATTTCCGCCTGCTCATATATTGAACCCATGATGGCGACTTGATGATTTTTCTCGCTATCGCTTGTTTGGTCGATCGAAAGCGCGTCGATCCAGAAGTAGCCGTCGTGTTTCACATCCCGCAGCCGACTAAGAAGATTCCAAAGATTTGGGCGTACAGTGAAGGGCTGTCTATTGAGTAAGATCTGCTTTGTGGGCGAAGGGTCCCCCCACACGTAGGAAACGGCGGTATAGGGAGGTGCATCGACCAGAGATGTCTGACGGAGTCGTACAGAGATGATCGATGAGTGCATGACTGCCGAGAAGTCTAGCTCAAGTTTGAGCAGCCGCGTGTTGATCGTAGGGCTAAGGTCCAGCGGAGCAGACTGATGGATTGCCGACATCGCGTGAAGAGAGAGTTTTCCAAGTTTGACGCGGATTTCTCTACATAGGACAGGTCTATAGAGTTGTAAGTATTGTAACTCTTGACGTGCTTTGCAGGCTACAACGGTCTGGGGAAAGGGAACTCGAACTCTTCAACAGTCTGTAAACTCCTAGGGTATCTGCTCGTACGTACATTGATCCTGGTACGAAAGAACAATCCTATCACCAGATAATACGATGATAATTACAACCAAGAACTTTGTATGCGGCGGACATGAGTTGTGTTCAGAAGGTGTTGAGAAGGCTGGAACGCCGTCGCAGCAGACGCCAGCCTACTTATATGAGGCTGAGCGTCTTCGTGTTAGCCAATGATAGGCTCGACGCACGGCATAGCCCTCTCCTTCATATCTGGGCGTCGTTCTGGTGTACTTGGGTACATGCCCAGGTTTGGTGGGAACCTGCGTCTAGAGACGAGTGGTTCAGAGGTAAGAGCACTACGAAAGGGTGGATACTCAGATGTGGAGTCGCGCTAGGGTGGCTGATCGCCGGCGCGTCACTCCAGACATTTTGCGCCTCACGCAGCGCCTCTCGAACAACATCCTCCCCCTCTACATATATCCGACATGGGCAAAGGAACCGACAAGCTATACATCACCCACTCCGAGTGGTCATCTTCGGATGCGTTCGGCAACGCGCGCGGCGCAAACAGCGCAAATCGAGCCTCCGCTGCCGGCCTATCCTCGACCTTCAAGCGCCTACCCTTCAACTACTGCGCCGTCTCCCTACAGCCCTTCACAGATCCCGTGTGCACAACATCGGGCACCATCTTCGATCTCACCCACATCCTCACATGGCTATCGAAACACCCCGACACGAATCCCGTCGACGGAACGCCATTGAAGCGCGCCGACCTCATCACGCTGAACTTCACCAAGAACGAGGACGGCGAATTCGTTGATCCGGTCACATACAAGGTCTTCACAGACAACACCCATATCGTTGCGCTGAGGAAGAGCGGCAATGTCTTTGCATGGGACACGGTTGAGAGGCTGAACATCAAGGCGAAGAATTGGCAGGATCTGGTCAGCGACGACCCGTTCACACGGAAGGACATCATCACACTCCAGGATCCTCAAAGCATTGAGTCAAGAGACTTTAGCTCATACAAGCATGTGAAGGACGGAGACACAGTGGTGGCAGAGGCGGAGACCGGTGTGAACAAGGAGGCGCTGGGCAATGCTGCGAAGATCCTCAAGGCGAAAGAAGCAGTTGCGAAGGCGCGCGAAAACAGGAAGATCAAGGAGCAGAGCGGAATTACATCGAAAGCGCTTGCGAACCTACCCAGGAATGGCACAGCGGCATCGACATCCTCCGAACCCAAGAAACCAGCATACAATGCCGCCGTATATACTTCCGGTAAAGCTGCTGCGTCCTTCACCTCGACCGGCGTCACACCGCATACCTCCGGCGAACGCGCCCTCCTCTCCGACGAAGACTATATGCTTAAGCCAAAGCGCATAAAGAACAAAGGTTATGCACGCATCTCCACCTCACTCGGCGATCTAAACGTCGAACTTCTCCCCGAATACGCACCGCGCGCAGTATGGAACTTTGTCAAGCTGGCACAGAAGGGATACTACAGCCACACCATCTTCCACAGGAACATCAAGGGTTTCATGATACAAGGTGGTGACCCAACAGGTACTGGAAGAGGCGGGCAAAGCATATGGGGCAAGCCATTCGAAGACGAGTTCGAAGGGCCGGAGAGACATAACGCCAGAGGCGTACTTAGTATGGCGAATAAGGGTAAGGGCACCAACACGAGCCAGTTCTTCATCACGTACCGCGCCGTCCCGCATCTCGACCGCAAACACACAATCTTCGCACGAGTAGTTGGTGGTCTGGATACCACACTGCGGTCCATGGAGATCGCAGAAGTAGGCGAGAAGGACAAGCCTGTCGATGACATTGAGATACTAGACGTAGTAGTCTTTGTAGATCCGTTTGAAGAGTGGCAGAAGGAGCGCAAAGATAAGGAGAACAAAGAGCTGGAAGCTGAGGAAATCAAGAGGCAAGGCGGCACAGCGGATGACAAGACAACGTGGACGGGCAAGCGCATACGCGCAGATGGTACCGTGGAGAACGGCACGGGTGAAGGTCTCGGCGTAGGCAAGTATCTCCAAGCTGCGAAACAGGAGATACAAAATCAGGGCGAGGATGAGATAGTTGGATATGTGGATGATGAAGAGGACGTTGCGCCTGTCAAGAAGAAAGCAAAGACTGGTGGCTTTGGTAACTTTGACGCCTGGTAAGGTGTTCAAGAGTCTTGACTGGAGGTTAGACAGCACTAAAATGATACCCCTATGCATTCTGCCTTGCAAATTCGCAGGGAAGGTTGCACGTCTCCTCTGTTGTTCATCCTCACGACACGCTTAACACCCGTAAACTCCGCGCTAATCTAGCCATCATGCGGAATTCGACCGCTGCAACTCGCTGACTACATACATGACTGTATATAACACATGTGGACCCAAATAACTATCTCGGCTCCGCCGGCGTTAGCGTAAAGCCCATTGGGCGTATCATCATCTCCAATCGGTATGCGAGGAGCAAGTATGCCCAGGCCAATCAACGCGGAAATAGGCGGAGTGATGGTGTAGTTCGGAAGGTGCGGACGACTACGGCGTATGATGTCAAGTTTGGGCTGCTCTTTTGATCGTCGTGCAGGGCGTAATATGGCATGTCGCGGAAGTCTGTTTGGTCGACCAGGACGAATCTGAATGTTTAGTCGTCGGCTGATGCGGGGGAAACAGAACGGTGATAGGTGATAACGATGATGTATGCATACATGCATGACGGAGGTAGAGATAAAAGAGGGCTAGGTCGCGCCTACCTCTGCTCGTTGACATCACAGATCAACACCGTCTTGACTACTGCACCGTTAAGCTCTCACATCCACTGTTAAGAAAGCTTGGTTTCTGCACTTTACCTGCTCAATTTCAGCATACCTCGTACACCAAGCAACATCATGTCTTCATCTGACATCCCCTCCTCTTGCCGCGCCGTCGTAATTGAGAAGAAGGGCGCGCCTTGGACGATCAAAGATGTACCAGTCTCTGCGCCAAAGTCGGGCGAGG